GGGCAAACACCAACAGAAAGACGAAACGTGATGCTCCTGAAGGCGGCTAACAGGAATGACATCTGCAGGCGCACCTTCTCATTCACTGAAATGATATCGTCCCAGGCCTTTGGAGGTACAAATGGGCGTCCCCAAACATCATCGGAATTGCGCGGCCAAGATAAAACTGATGGGTCGAGAATGACATGCTGCTGCTGGCTGTTGGGGGTCTGGTCGCATATGAGTGCCAGTACCCTGTCAGCGGACAATAACTGCAGCCAACAGTTCAAAGTAAAATCTACTGAGCACTGGGACGATCCGACGTGGCTGGAAGGCTGATGTGGTGCAGCACAGCTTTGTCGGCCGTGAGGTCCTTCATCTGCTGTGCCACTGCTCCGTCCACTTGGGAGCATACGTAAATAATGACATGGTACTGCTACTGCTGGATATCAACATTATCCCAGTGCGACCCTACCTAGGAGTTGGAGCCCCTAGGAAAGCAGCATTAGTAGTAACAGTACAGCTAAGCTAAAGCTAAGAAAAAGCTAAGCTAAAGCTAAGCTAAAGCTAAGCTAACGCTAAGCTAAAGCTAAGCTAAAGCTAAGCTAAAGCTAAGCTAAATCTAAACTAACGCTAAGCTAAAGCTAAGCTAAATCTAAGCTAAAGCTAAGCTAAAGCTAAGCTAACACTAAGCTAATGCTAAGCTAGAGCTAAGCTAACGCTAAGCTAGAGCTAAGCTGAAGCTAAGCTAAAGCTAAGCTGAAGCTAAGCTGAAACCAAGCTAAAGCTGAGCTGAAGCTAAGCTAGAGCTAAGCTAAAGCTAAGCTGAAGCTAAGCTGACGCTAAGCTAGAGCTAAGCTAAAGCTAAGCTGAAGCTAAGCTGAAGCTAAGCTAAAGCTAAGCTAAAGCTAAGCTAAATCTAAGCTAAAGCTAAGCTAAAGCTAAGCTAGAGCTAAGCTAAAGCTAAACTAGAGCTAAGCTGACGCTAAGCTAAAGCTAAGTTAAAGCTAAGGTGAAGCTAAGCTAAAGCTAAGCTGAAGCTAAGCTAGAGCTAAGCTAAGCTAAGCTAGAGCTAAGCTGAAGCTAAGCTGAAGCTAAGCTGAAGCTAAGCTAAGCCAAGCTAAGCTAAGCCAAGCTAAGCTAAGACGAGATAAGCTAAGCCAAGCTAAGGGGGCGCGACTGGGGGAACCGCGGGGCGGGGACTGGGGGAACCGCCCGGGGCGCTTTCCACTGCCCGGCCCCTTTAAGCTAGAGAGTAAGAACCCTTCTAGGCAGAGCCTAGGTAGGGAATCAACGTTCCTGGGGGTAATCGTAGTCATGGCCGACTCTGGTAATACAATCGCTTCACCATCCAGGGACTCTTCACCGAGATTGAAGCGCACTCGTCTCCTCGGACGCCTGACGCCAGGAGGTCTGAGAGCTGGTCGTAGGGCCTTCTGAGCGTAGTAACCGATCCGTCGAACCTGTTCACGCTTGTCCTTGTCATCAGCTGCAAGACGTCTGCTCCCTCCTCGGGAATAGGTTCAATGCTACCTTCATTTTCAGAGAGACATGAGGTGCCACGATATCTCAAGTGTACCAACAATCCATCGCGTTTGTGAAAATCAGAACCACAATGCCTACACTGACCGTTGATGGCATAGAGGTGTGCGCGATCACGTGGGCCGTGCTGGGTAGTATGATGATGATGATGGAGCGCCCCCATTGTAGCAAAACCCTGTCCACAGATGTAGCAATACGACTTGGGCTGCCTCGAGGGCTTCCAGAGCTCCGAGGTGGATGACACCGAAGCGATCTGTCTCCTCCAGACCACCACGTTGAGCTGCTCGATCCGGTACTTCTTGCCGTTGGTCATGGTTTGCTTCAGGAGGTTGTAGAACTTACGGATGTCAGTTCTGACGTAAACAATACACTCCTGCAAGCAAACGTGTGGGTCGGGCAGTGTCGTAGATACACGGGGGCGCAACCATTTGAGATCGTCGAGTATGAGGCAGGGCCAAGACTTGGGCACATCAGATAAGAAATCTTATAGTATCATGAGTGCTTCGACCGACAAGTGAGTGCATCTGTCCCAGTAGCGTAACCTTCTGTATCTGACCACTGTTTCTATAGGCTGGTGCTGAGCACGTAGTACTACTTGAGCGTCGGTTACTCTCTTGTCCTCGTAGGTGAGACCCGTGATGTTGATGCTGTCGGTAAGGGACCGGTAGCCGTTCATGTAGGCATGCTTCGCTTGCTTCATCTGCGCGTCCGTGAGCTCCCATAGCTCACGGTGGTATAGGAGCTAGACCATGGCCAACGTGTCGAAGTATTTTTTTGCCATGGTGATTGCATTCGTAGTTTTCATTTGCCATGGTGATTGCATTCGTGGATTGTCATGGTGATTACCAGGCTACGTAATCGATCCTTTGCATGTCGCCATTGCTGCGGATGTATGTGTACGGATGTCCGTCTGTGAAAGAGGTGTTGGTCACGTACGCCTCGGCTTGCAGCATGACTTTCCTCCTCTCGGCCTCGTCCTCTGGAGCTCTGCGCGCGCGCCGCGCGCCCCGCCGGAGGAGCCCGGGACGCCCGCCACGGTGTATCCCGACGACGCGGAAGGCTGCCCTGAAGACAGGAGGGTGCGGGGGGTGCATGGGAGCTTGGCCTCGCCACGGCTGGGAAAGGGGGGAAGACGATGAGGGGAGGCGGGTTGGACAGGGGTGATAGAGGACAGATGCAGCCTGGACATGCGTGAGAGCATGGCCATGTACATTTGGATGCAGTTTTGTACATAGGATCGTGGCCGTCGGGACCAAACGTGTAGCAGGCAGTGAGCCGAGTGTACGGCTCTTCGATGCGCTTTGAGCAAGTCTCAGGAGAAGCGGTTGCCGGCACTGGGCGCGTACGGGCCACCCGTCCCCCTTTGTGTGACTCTTCTGCGGTCATTTTTTAGCATTGTTCGACTTGTCGAGCGAAGCGCTAGTGGGGAGAAAGGTACAACTACCTCTGCCCTTTCCTCGTTGTCGCTATTTTGGGCCTCCTGGGAGGCTTTCGTCACCACGGCTGGATTCGCCTCGACTTCTGGTGAGAACGCACCCCTGGGAGAGGTCTAGGGTCTGGGGAGTAGCGGTACAAGTATCTTTTGGTTAGCGTGCTAATGGGGTGGGAACAGATGGGGGCGCAAGTATGGGCGCACTAGTTCGCAACAGTAGACGTTCCCGTGCCAGATATCTTCTATGCTTTCACGAGCATCGTGGTCCGGACGCAGTCTTTGCAACTAGTTGTGGATGGCACAAATATGACATGGTGTTGACGGGCGAATCGCACCTATGTTTTCATGTCGGTCCGACCCCGTTGTGTCATCTCTTCGCGCGCAAGATCTCTGCACGAACAAGGTCGCATCTTTGTTGTAAGCTTCCTGAGGCGCTTGAAGCGGGAATCCTCCCCCAGCGCCCCGCGATTGAGGTCGGGGCGCGTGGCGCGACCAGCGCGCGCGCTGGCCAGCGCGGTGCGCTGGCCAACCGCCGCGAGTCCACAGCTAAGGTTGGGCCAGGGCTGGAGTCGACGCCGCTGCTGAGGCCCAGGCAGAGAAGCGAGGCGGCGGATGATTGTATAGGAGGCTGAGGCCGAAACTCAGAGTATGGCTGGTGGTGGGATCAGGTCTCAGGGGGCGGCTGGCGCTGGCCCTTGGGCCGTGGTTGAGGCCGGGGCCATAGCTGAGGGGAGCTGACACTGGGGCCCATCAGCGCGGGCGGCCTCCGGGGCGCGGCCGGGGCCAGGGGCGAGGCTGGGGCGGAGCGTAATGTTGAAACCGATGTGATTGAAGTGGGAAGGTGATGCTGGGGCACCCGCGTACTAAGGCGAGCGCCACATTTTGAGAAGGAGCCGCCCTCAATCTGTGAAGCTCTAGCACATTTGTAGATCGAGTGTACGCCGCGCTGAGGCAAGCGCCACATTTTGAAAACCTCCCGCCCACAATCCGTGAAACTCTTGCACATCGAATGTGCACCGCGCTAAGGCGAGAGCCACATTTTTAAAACGACTCGCCCTCAATCCGTGAAGCTCTTGCAAATGTTTAAAACGAATGTGCGCCGCGCTACGGCGAGAGCCACATTTTGAAAACGACTCGCCCTTAATCGGTGAAACTCTTGCAATTTTTAACACGACGGTGCGCCGCGCTAAGGCGAGAGCCACATTTTGAAAACGACCCGCCCTGCTTTTGTGAAACTCTTGCTACATTAAATTTTAGGCTTCAGAGTCAAAAGTGGTGAGGAAGTCTCAGTCGAAACGCCCAGCCCGCCCTAACGGTTGGCCTCGGGGTGCGACAGGGAGAAGTTGTTCATAAGGAAAAGGATTGGACGAGGAGGAGGAGGAGGAGGAGGGGAGGGGGAGGAGGAGGAGGAGGGGGAGGAGGAGGAGGAGGAGGAGGAGTAGGAGGAGGATGAGAAGGAGGAAGAGGCAAGTATTTCAAGCTCAGCGCTCAGGCCACTGCGCGCGGCCATTTCTCTCGCGAGCCTGCCTCCCCTTCCTCCCCTGCCCTCCCTCCATCCCCTGCAGTTCCCCTCCCCCACGTCCTCCATCCCCTTCCCCTTCCCCGCGTCCCCACCCCCTGTCCTTCCCTCCGCTCCTCGCCCCCCCCCTCGCCCTCCATGCTGCTGGAGCCTCCGGGGAGGGACGACGACGTGATCAGCATATGACCAGTGCGCGTGGCGGGGCCAAGACGCCAGCGGTGGCAAGGCCGAGGAAGTAGGGCGAATTGGCCGCGCCTCGTAGGGTGGCCGTGTTGATACAGGGGTGCGGGCTACGCGGCGAGGCAGTTTGCGTGGCCACGCTGGCCAGGCAGATCCTGGGCGCAGGATCGGGGGATATTCCATCCTTGACCGACCAGTAAGGCGTAGACACCGATCGTGAGCCCAGGATTTGCCCTGCCAGTGCTGGCGTATGTGGGCAGTTGGCGTCCCCCAGGCAGGAGGGATGATGATGACAACGACGATGATGATGCTGATGCTGATGATGATGCTGATGATGATGCTGAGGATGATGATGACGATGATGACGTTGATGCTGCTGCTGATGATGATGATGATGCTGATGCTGACGATGACGATGACGATGATACTGACGATGCTGATGATGCTGATGATGATGGTGATGATGGTGATGATGATGCTGATGCTGATGCTGATGACAATGGTACTGCTGACGACGATGCTAATACTGACGATGATGATGATGCTGATGATGCTGATGATGCTGATTTTGATGATAATGATGATGCCGATTCTGCTGATTATGACGATGATGCTGAGCATAAGGATGACGATGCTGCTGCTGATCATGATGCTCACGATGATGATGATTATGCTGCTGATGATGACGATTGTGATGATGTTGATGCTGATGTTGATGCTCATGCTGATGCTGCTGCTGATGGTGATGATGCTGATGCTGACCATGACGATGATGCTGATGATGCTGCTGATGATGACGATGCTGATGATGCTGATGATGCTGATGATGCCGATGATGATGCTGCTGACGATGCTGATGCTGCTGCTGATTCTGATGGTGATGGTGGTGGTGGTGATGGTGATGATGATGGTGATGGTGATGATGATGATACGGATGATGATGATGATGCTGATGCTGATGATGATGATGATGATGATGATGGTGATGACGATGATGATGATGATGGTGATGATGCTGATGATCATGCGACTGATGATGATGACGATACTGATGCTGGCGGTGCTGATGATGATGCTGACAATGGTAATGCTGATGCCGATGCTGACGATGACGATGATGATGCTGGTGATGATAGTGCTGATGATGCTGATGGTGATGATACTGATGATGCTGATTATGCTGATTATGACGATGATGCTGAGCATAAGTCTGACGATGCTGCTGCTGCTGTTGATGATTATGCTGCTGATGATGATGACGATGGTGATGATGTTGATACTGATGTTGATGCTCATGCTGATGCTGCTGCTGATGGCGATGCTGCTGGTGTTGATCATGATGATGCTGATGATGATGCTGCTGCTGATGATGATGACGATGAGGATGCTGCTGATGATGATGATGCTGATGATGCTGATGATGATGCTGATGATGCTGATGCTGGGTATGATGATGATGCTGTTGTTGATGCTGATGATGGTGATGGTGCTGGTGATGGTGATGATGATGGTGATGGTGATGTTGATGGTGCTGATGAGGATGACGAGGATGATGATGCTGCTGATGATGGTGACGATGCTGACGACGATGATGATGCTGATGCTGATGACGATGATAATCATTATGATGATGAGGATGAGGATGAGGATGATGATGCTGACGATGATGATTCTGATGATTGATGATGATGCTGCTGCTGATGATGCTGATGATGATTCTGATGCTGCTGCTGATGATGGTGATGATGCTGATGCTGCTGATGATGATGATGATGTTGATGATGATGCTGATGCTGCTGCTGCTGAGGATGATGATGCTGATGATGATGATGATGATGATGATGATGATGATGATGATGATGATGAATTGGAGGAGGAGGAGGAGGAGACGGGCATATGCTGAAATAGAACATGGAGCAGACTCCCTCGCAACTAGCGAAACTTATTCTTCGGTTGAAGTACTGGTGAGCCCAAGGTTCCCGTGGGCCTGCTCAAGACTGGCCTCCTTGCTGCGCTCCGAGCGGCACCATCGCACCTCGTCCCTCGGATCCAAAAGCCCGTGCAAAGCAGCGACCCTATATACAGACTCACATATATAGATTTAGATCCAGCTGTCTATCTATCGATCTATCTACTTCTATCCAGGGATTCGGGAACCTCGAGCCCGTAGGAACCCCCTCGGCCTCGGGACCCGAACCGGAGGAGACGCGCAACTTCCCCACCCACAAGGCCCGAACGTCTAACGACGGAGTAACAACCGACTCAAACTTAGGGGGTGGGGACTGCGTTGAGTTGGGATGCGGGCCTCTCTGGAGCCTGCTCTTTTGAGAGGCTGACCGAGGATGGGCATACTGACGTTTTTCTGCACACTGGCGTCGCAACCCGTGCAACGCAGAACTGGCGGCTCCTGATCGAGCCCATGCACTGCAGCTTGCACTGCCTCGTGCCCCTGAAGCAGCCACGGCCGGGGACGGCCGCGCCGCTCCCGGCGGCAGGCCTCGACCCCGCCGCGGGCGCTGCAGCCCCTTCTCCTGCAGGGTGGCAGCTCGGGCGGGAGGGCGATGCGCGACTTGAGGGCGGCTCTGCTCGACCCGAGAACAAACGACACCACCCCACCTGCGGCCCTTCATTTTGCGCTACGGCCCATCGGGGGCCGTAGCGTGGACCGCGCAACAGCCCGCGCCAAGATTTGTTGGTATACGGTAAGCCCCGTGGGGCCGTAGGTTGGGTGGTGTCGTTTGTTTTTTGGTCCGTCTGCGTTCGCAGTGTTTCTCCCACTCTCGTGCTTCCTCAGGCTTGAGTTTCGAAGCGTCCAATTCGAGACTGGGCGCACCATCTGCCGTGCCCCCCCACACCGTGCGAGTCTTGGAAGCCAGCATCGTGCAGCCACTCTTGGAGCCTGCCCAGTCAACGGGCAACGTCTGCAGCCCTTCGCTCGCAAGCTTCTACAGCAATCTCTTGCTCCTCGGGGACTTCCCACAGACGAGCCCCAGCTTTGGCCCAGTGGTTGGCCAACTGGCTTCCTCGAAGGGCTTTCTGACCTTTCGCGCCTAATGAGAGGCCCCAGCTTTCTTCCACCAGAGCTTCCACATGTGGCGACGCTCATTCTTGGGGTCCAGGGCCTTCGTCGAATGTCGAGCACCACTGACCGAGTCTGCACAACCGCTGTAGACTTCCAGTATGGCTCCTTCGTTGCCGACCGATGGGGGTTCCGAGAACCTGGTCAGCATGGCAAACGCGTAGTCCTCCCCATCCCGCGCGCACTGCTCGGGATCCCAAGCCCTTGGCACCACCACATACATACAGGCTACGACGTCGCCCGCTTGATCTGCTGGCACAGCTGACCATCCTTCTCGCCTGCACGATCTATGCTGACGTCGAACCGTCCACGAGCATGGGCCCTCTCCAGAGCCACCCAGGATGGGCCCCGACGAAGCGAGCCCAGTGTTCCTCGGGAGCCCCAGGCCGGCCGAACACAATCTCAGGGGAGGGAGAACGACGGCGGCAGGAAACATATAGCTTCATCGCCTCCCAGCTTCCGCGTTCTTATTCGCCGCTACCCAACCGAGTGGGGCATGTGAGTACGTCATGTGCCATCTGAGCAATCGCGCAAACAGCTCCGGTGGAAAATGATACACCTGGGCGTCCAAATCTTGCAGTCACCTGAAACAGACCTCTCGTGCCGAAAGTACGCTGCTGAGGCCAGTGGGTGCCAGACACCAGGCTCCTGACTAAATTCCTGCCGTGCTTGCCTAGCCTAGGATTGGGGCCAAACGGCAACACATCCTCGAGAGGCCTCCAGTTCAACTCTGAGCGCCAGCGCTGCTATTTGCTGAAGGAAACAAAGTCACCGCAACAGCCATGGCAGGAGGAGGAATATGATGAGGAGGAGGGGAGGAGGAGGAGTTGGTGGAGACGGAGAAGGAAAACGACGATTGAGACACGTCAGGTCGCCCATCGCCCTGGATGAGGAACACGCGGAGGAGTAGGATGAGTAAGAGGGTGAGGAGGATGAAGAGGAGGATGAGGAGGAAGAGGAGGAGGATGAGGAGGAGGAGGAGGAGGAGGAAGAAGATGATGATGATGATGATGATGATGATGATGATGATGATGATGATGATGATGATGATGATGATGAGGAGGAGGAGGAGGAGGAGGAGGAGGTGGAATAGGAGGAGGCAGGATGATGACCAGGGGGAGGTGGAAGAGGAGGAGGAGGAGGAGAAGGAGGAGGAGGAGGAGGAGGAGGATGGGGAGGAGGAGGAGGAGAAGAAGGAGGAGGAGGAGGAGGAGGAGGAGGAGGAAGAGAAGAGGCGTATTCGCCCGAGGCCGGTGGGAACTGTTCCCAGGCCCCCGCGTCAGCGCCCAGGCGAAGCGTCAGGGCAGCCCGCGCGACCCAGCCATAGTCGCGGGGGCGGCACCCCCCCGCGCCCAGCAGCAGGTGGCAGCGGCGCCTGGCAGCAGGCGGCAGCGGCGCCTGGCAGAGCCAGGCTGGCGCCTGGCAGCAGCATCAGCAGCAAGATGCAGCGCTCTCCAGCCGGGCACAGGAGACGAAGACGAACAAGAGCAGTGGCTCGAGTGCTACTTAGGCTAGGAGCTGCAGCAATACTACTTCGTGAACATCACTCACAAGGCAGTATGGCATCCAACCGACGGGGGAACTCTCAGGTACGAGGTGGATCCAGGCATCGTGGGCAGTCAAGGGCGGGGGCGCGAGAAAAACACTTAGGAAGACGGACAGGTACGAATTGCGGCCTCATCAACCCTTCGTCCACCAACCAGTGTTTTTGCGAGACTCCGACATATCCGAAGACTCACGACGCCGACCCAGAGGACGGATGCAGCTGTACCCAAGCAACAAGGCTATCCATGGCGTCAAGATCGGACAAAAGAGATAGCCCCGCCCAAGAGGGACCCAGCGGTTCAGAAGCTTATTGACATGATCCCCATGGCCACTCGAGAGGAAGCATAAGTCACGCCAGTTTTCGAATATCCATCGACGGACA